GTTTAATGTTTGGGTTGAAATGGGTCTAACTCGGTTGAAGATACATTCCACGATAACCCTATGCGTAGAATCCCTATAAGGCATCCGTTTCAGGAATCGTAGAGCATGCACCGATCATGCGGCTAGAAAGCGAGTGACAAACCCGTGCCACGTAGGTCAGGATCTGATCTTTTCACAGAACTGAATTTTTGATGAAAAGGTTTGAGCCAGGAAATGAAAAGGATCCTACTGTTCAAGAATCGTGGACCTTCTGACATCAGCAAGCGAGAGTACACCCGATTGCGTACTCACTTCATCGTATGCGCATTCAGTGTTCAGTGCAAGTGGGGTCTCAGTTGGGCGTTTGCCAAGTACTGTCCTGCCCTTCTCTTCGCTGTGATGCCTAAGACCGCATGTATTTTGCTTGTAAATTCCTCTACCTGCGAACTACACTCGCGGAATGTACCTTAAAGGCAGTGGTGGAGGGAGGTTGTCCTGAAGCCCAGTTTCCCCCATTACGAAGCCTCAATGCCTTGACTATGAATAGCAGAACAATAATAAAGCGTAGAAGTTACATTAATTTCCAAATGACTCCTCCAACAAAACGTACCAGTTCCTGCAAGAACGAGTCGCCCTGAAGGTATTATCTTCCTGTCGACCGGTACTATATTGGCAGACGTGAGCGCTCCACGATGAACCTAAGAGAAAAGAGAGAGAGTTTAATCAGATCATATTATGAAAAATCAAAAAAGGGGTTTGGAGGCATTTGAAGGACTACTCGTGCAAAACTAGGATCGCTATAGCACAAACTCCACTTCTGAATCCGAAGGCTGAATCAAACAATCCTGAAGGTTCCTTCTCTCCCGTAGCTTAGGCAGGAATCCCATCACCTTTCCGTAGCACCAGTTCTGCGCAATGAAGCTTTTGAAACCTGCGCGCCCAAGACAAACGACCAGAAAAGTTTCCTGCTCTATTAGTCAGAGACAGTGTTCGGATCATGCGATCGAGTGAAGAGTTGGAAGAGTTTCTATGAAGCGAGACCTTGCAGCAGGGTAAGAGACCAAAAATCAGGGACGCACGGACAGGAAGATGTGCAAGACGACAGGCTAATCCTATTCGGAATGGAGATAGCGTGTCACTGCAAATATAGGACCGCTGGCATCTCGTCCCCAGATGGGAGGGGTGACCTTCATGGGGCGGCGAGCCTTGAGCTAATAATGGCGGCGGCGCCGTGAACCAGGCAATGAATATAGGGGACTCTTCCCATCAAGTGTTTGCCGCTGCGCCTTTAGAAAGTTATTTCGGAAGAAGTCTTTAAGTTCTGAGCGATACATCCAAGTCTTAATTTGAAACTCTCTGAAGTAAGAGATTAAGAACAACAAACATTACGCCACCTCTCATTGTTATGAAAATCCCAAAAAAAACATTCCTACTTCAATGAAATCCAGTACAGCTGCCGAAAGCTCCTTCAGTTGCGGTGTTTCAGCGACATTCTTTCCGCAATTCGTGACAAGGATAACTCCGTCATACACCGATTCGTTCACTCGCGCTGCTCGAACTAGCGGTGTCGATAATAACGACTTCAGCGACATAATTACCTGAAAGGCTGTTCAGATACCTTCGATCTGGCGATACGTGGTCGTGAACTTGACATCTCAGCGCGATAAGCGAAGACGATCCAAAAAACAAACACCGAAAAGCTGGGAAGGTATGTGCTCAACGATAAAACGACTATGGACAATTTCTAAGAATTCCGTAACAAAGATAGAATTTGTGAAAAGGTAAGCTTTTACAAGTACTGAGGAAATAAGAAATCCAGCAGCCCGGACCCAGATGGGGTTGAATTCAGTAAAGATAAAGTTGAATGGGATAGAAACGCGAACTTTGTGTGGATAACGAAGTCCAAATGTTGCTGGAATGGAGGGATTCCGGAAGTGAGTGCCCCCATAGGTTCCACGTCACTCCTTGCAGGCGCAAGGAAACAGAAACCGTGTAGCTGCATTTGCAGCTATAATGGTCATCAAATGAAGAAAAACCGGGCATAAACGACATACGCAGAAGAATAATGTCTCAGAGAAGCTAAATGGTCTACTGATATTGTCGCATAGTATCAAGATACGAAGACTCGCAATGAATGGTCGCCAGAACCCACTGATCAGGATGTGTCAAAGAACATTCTGGAAAAGAGTCTTGACCTAGTCAGAGGAGATGTCATCCAAAGGATCACATTCTATTCTTGAGCATGACTTCTTCGAGACATAAAATACCACAAAAAAGAACGATTCGAGGAAGCCACTGAAATCACCATGTATCGACCGTGAAAATGAAGGTTGTTCGTCTGTAGTTGCAAAACCACACTCATTACAACTTGACGACCGGTATTTGTTTGCTCCGGCTGGTCGGACGGTCGGGAAGTAATTAGATGGTAGAAGGTCGTCCTGTTGACATGTCTGCCTGAGAGGCATGTGGCACTTTGGGGGGCTCACGCGGCACTAATTGCTACCTCGTCTGCAGAGCACCTGTCAACCAGGAAGTCCTCTGGCAGGAGTTTGCTAAGAGGGAGACTCGGTCACTTCTTTCAAATTAAGTTGAGCCAGACTGGTGATTACAGTTCTTATGCACCTTTCGATCTTGATAGGTGGGCGTGTCGGCGAGAAGGAGCGGCACACTGTTTGAATGTCCACCAACACCCCCTCCGCTTCTCAGTCGCTTTTCGTTGAAACAACGCGCTATTCGGAACAAAAAGTGCTAGAATGATACCAGAGTCAACTCTACGAAGGTATAAAAAGTAATGTCACTTTGAAATCGCGGCTCTGAATTCCGACAGCCGACTGTTACCTCGGCGCTATGCTGCAACCATTGTGAATACATAACTCAGTTTGAATTATCTTCTGCCGCTGCGTCAAGAGGCAAAATTTGAATGCACAAAAACAGCATGTGCTGATGATTCGCTGGTCTGACTCTTAGAATGAGCGGGAACTCTGTTTCTTGAGCTGTGAATATTTCAGTCATTTCAGGACTGATATTATCAAGCACAGAATGGAGGTTGGACGAGCTCTTGCATGCTTGCTGCCTAGCCACCTTATATGTCCTAGAACTGAATTTTGTATCGCTGCGCATATATTGAAAGCTTTGTTTATCCTGGAAGTGGTAACGTTACATCAGTAACATAACCTCGGTAGCATGAACTATGGCAACATTAACTTGGCAAAAATATTACTTAACTTTGATTAATTTTTGCCATTGATAAAAACAGTCTAACTTGTAAATTAGTGTTTGATTGTCTCGAAAAACACATATCACCTCGCCGTTTAATTAATATGTTTCCAATCAGAATCAATTACCTTGAGCAGTAAAAAACAAGCCAAGCCGTAGTCTAAAAACATATTACGAAAAAATTAAAGCCAGCGGGACATGCGAAAGGGATGCTGCTGTAACATCAGTCTCAAGCTTTATAGTTTCACGTGAACGGCACATTTTTCTTCTTTGAAACTTAGTAATTTCCGGGTAAAGGAATGACTACGATCGAAACGCATCAAGAAATGCAAGAGACGAGCATAGGAATTCCGAATCTTTGACACAGTTTAGCTTTTATTGTTTCAGTATTCCAAAACCAGGCAATTTTTTTCAAATTCTTCCTCTGGAGGCACATTTGACTGAAAATTTGTTTTTCGGGGTAGTTTGACCACCTAAAGACCGATATCGCATTCCCGTGGCCCGCAAATATTAATTTTACATAATAACTCATTGGGTTACGGTGACAGCACTGGGTGAAACCGTCCCCCAAGACAAATTAGCTGTCGTTCACCATTGACGGAAACCGTCATCAAGGCGTCAAGTGGATATGATATTCTTGTTCAGGGGGTCGAACTAGCCTAGGAGACATGTTTTCAGCGAATTCGATGATCTAGGACATTTTGGCGCCGGCGCCTGTGGCACGGGCGCCAGGCGGTTTTGTGGCAAGCGATTGTGATATTCGTGTTCACGGGGTCAAGCTGCCCCAGGAGACAAGTTTTCAGCGAATTTGGTGATTTATGGTGTTTTGGCGCCGTCGCCAAAACACCATAAACCACCAAATGCCAAGCGACTGTGGTACCCACTTCAGAGGGACAAGCTACCCCCAGGAATAAGTTCCCAGCAAACTTGGCTGTTCGTCCTACAGATGTAATTCGATGCCCTGATCACGAATGTCACATTCGAGCGCTGACGCCATTTGGCGCCATTATGCGCCACCTTGGCGCAACCATCTTTTCCACCGAAATCGGTGAAAACTTGTATCTAGTGGTTATTTGGGTCTTGATTACGAATCCGACATGGTACCATGACGCCCAATGGCGCCAGCGCTCAAAGCGATTGTGATATTCGTGATCAGGGCATTGACCTACATCAATAGGCGACGTTTCGGCGAAAAAAATTTGAGTTTCTGAGGTAGGAGTGGTTCAATAGTGGCGTTGTTTTCGTTTTTGCCTTTCATATCGCTTGCTAGTTTCCTTGTGGATGATCGGACAGATGCTGATTTTCCGGAGTAAATGTAATTTCGAGTATAGTATTTTACTATTGTATTTTGTGTTCAAATTTGCGCGCGCGGGAGATACTTCAAACTGCAGTTTGTATTCAAATTTGCGCGCGCGTGGTAACAGTCGGGTGCGGAATTTAGCCGCGTTCTTCTGGGAACAA